GGTTAAATCCCACTTGTACTGTTATCATCTAGTCCTACTTTCTCTTGACTCACTAAAGAGCTCTATATCCTCTTGCTGAAATGCAGACCCCACTCTTAAAATTGGTCTGTTGAACTGTTGATTGAATCAGTTGAACAGCCAACTTTTATGCAGTGCAAGCCCTCTCTCTGTGTTACATCTCTAGATTTATTTTTCTCTCTGTGTTACATCTCATAGATTTATTTTTTTTTCTAGAGGTTTGCATGATCTAGGGGGCTAAGGTATGCAGGATCAGAAATTCTTCAGAGAAAGGCCAGTCTTCAGGAATTGTGATATATTCTTCATACTTGGAACATAATTTTGCAGTTAAATGGAATCCTGGAAACATCCAGTTATTTTTATAAAGGGAAACATAGCATTTAAATCCCTAAAGATGCTTCACTAGGAACAGAGCAACAATACTAGTTCCAGGAAAGATATGGCAAGGCACTACAACATACCAGAATTACAGAAGTTTTCACTTTTTGTTTAAAGCATTTACTTTAACTATCATAAATCACTTAATCAGATACATAAAAATCTTATTTTAAAATGTGACAAAACTAATACTAAGGATGCCATAGGGAAGCTTTTATGAGGTATTTGTTCAGATAATTCAGTTAGCAACTCTGTTCTACTGAAAGGATCACTTCCTCATATGTTATCCAAGTACTCAGCCATTACTACATATAGTACTAAAATCTCATGTTTTCTTTGCTAAATTTATCACAGCACTCCTGAAAGGCAGTGATGTACAACTATTCCCATCCTGCTGATGGGAATGAGGCACTGAGAGCTAAGTCATTTAAATAGGAAATCTGTTCAAGGACACCAAAGTTTTAAAATTATGATCCAAATACAAAACTTTCTCTATTGTAACATGATTGTGGTTTTCTTAACAAAAGCCCTCTACCGTTCCCATCAGACCATCATCAATGTAGTCTCCTTTGAGCTGCATATAAAGACATGGAACTGGAAAAAAGAAGGTGACAGCCTAACAAACACAAAGACGATACAGGTTTTTATTTTTAATAAACCGTAAGCCCTTGATGTAATGTATATAAAACTTAGTCTCTGACAGATTTGCTACCCCTCTGTGGCTGGAAAGAGACAAAGGGCTCAGCTGCTCGCTTACCATGCATGCTTGGCTCAGTCTGTATTCCATTGTGAGTACGTCTTGTAAGCTCATGGCAGCTCCTTCTCTGAGCTGTCTGAGAGTCATCTTTAAGGACGTAGGTGACATCTTATTAATAGTCTGGGGAAGACATTAACAATTATTTTTATTCTCTTCAACTTAGACACGTTTGTAAGCCTGTCTTTTTTGCATTTTAAACTTCATGAAGTAAATGATGGCACTCTTCTCCCTGAGCTCACTTATGTGATACCTATTCCTCCTGCTGCTTCCCACCACGCTGTCACACTACATGAACTTACTTGCATAAACTTTTATCAGCAAGATCTCTGGAAAGCATGCCATCACTTGTGAAAAGCCTAGAACTCCTAAGGTCATACCATTTATGATCAAATTACTACTAGCCAGAGAATCTAATGCAGCTTGGAAGCCATTTCCAAACAGATTCTTTTGAGAAGTGAAGGCGAGTGTTACAAGCAATTATACTCCATTTTTAAATATAATATATATAGTCAGAATTGCTCTTAGATGTTACTGATATTGTAGCTGATATGACAGCATTTAAGTTTAATTTGCTACACTAGTCAGAGTAGTGCAGCAATAATAGTGAGATTAGCCACAAACTTTAAGTAGTTGCATTACGAGCATCTGCAAAGATTAGACAATATACTAAGAAGAAAACTATGTAAAAAAAAAAGAAAAAAAAAGGAAAAAGAAATCAACCATAAATGCATATTTGCCCAGGTTTCTTGTCTGGGATCAAGAGATACTGCAGTAATTTAGCCCTACATTACTCTGCTGATGGGAAGCCCGGAGGTCTTGCCTGCTTTCTTTTGACAGAGCTACAGGCTATAAATATTATGCAACAGACAGGATCTGTTTAAGGCACACAAACAAATGCTGTAAATCTGGCTCTCACCACTATCCTTCAATTAACAGCATGCCAGTAAACAGGGGGAGGTGGGCAGAGAGACAAAAAACTAGTTAAGAAAACAGAACTGAGCTTTAAAGCTTTCAGGGTTGTGGGGGAAAGGAGCTAAGTCTTATTGTTGCTGATCTTTGTTTCCTTACTCTGAACACGACTTTTCTTCCCCTGTAAGCCCAACTAAAAGCTCTGTATTATTCACAGTACAATAGACGTTTCCTGTTAATTAGGACATTTTTACCACTACTGAAAAGTGGCAGATGGTAAGATTTGCCTCTTTACATTATTTTCATTACAGACATTAGACTCCTTAGCCACAGACTGAAATGGCAGGTTTCCAGTCATCAACATTAATGTTTTTTCTGGCTCCCAATTACTCTTCATCCCTCTCCAGACAGCAGCTGATACAGCAGTGACCCATTTTGCCTAGTTAAGCTGGAAAACATGCAATTGCTACAGAAGCAAGAGGCCGTGCGGTTGTACCTTAAAAGCACTGGTTCTGTCATTCTATCATTTGCGTGTTGACCACTTCGCTCGAGAGAGAAGCTGGTTTAGAAAGAGCTAATGCTGGCTCCAACCATCAACGTTTCTTGAGTTCTGCTAAAGCTCTCTAACAACAAGCTGCCTTCCAGCAGATAAAGAAACCAGCTATACCTCTCATGACATCGCTGTGTAGGTCTCGGATGGATAGCAACTGTTGACTGGACCCCTTATTTCCCATCATGTGCTCTTGCTGGCTTTACCTTTGAACTGGACCTTTTCTCCTTTGAATTTTCCGTGCTGTCATCTAGATTAGAAAGTCTTTGCTCAGACCAGGTGAAACGGTATGCACAGTGCAACCAGATGGTTCCCTAGGTGAAATGGTAATGGCAAATTCTTTCTGGTCAAAGCAAGCACTGAAATGGGGAAGATCTGAAAACAGCACTTAACTAGTCTAGTGCACCCAGCAGCTGCCTTATCTTGGCATATCAATGAGGCTGAAGGTGGAGGAGGCACTGCTATAAATCAAACTGAAGGAAGAGGAACAAGGAAAGAAAATGGGTAGGTGTAATTGCAGAAAAATGAGTCACCAGTATATCTATAAATAAATTCTCTGTACAAAGAGGAGGAGGGGATCGGTGCTGGGGAACAAGCCTGAAAAGGAGATAGGATAGGCTGAAGTGAGGAGTACTAAAATGCAAACAAGTCTTCATAGAAGTATTTGACATCTGTTCTGAGACCATCTTGATTTCAACATAATGATCCTGAAAGCTACAAGCTGAATTTGCAATAGACTCGAATTCCAGTAAGGTACTATCAGAAGGTGACTGTGTTAAGTGGCACTGACTCAGTGGAGTCCCTTACAAGAGTAGCAGCTGGAATAGTGGCTGCATCTTTTCTCTCAAAGGTCCATTAAAGTTTCTGACCTGAGCTGCTCAGTGTCCTTGAGCGAGGCTTTAAGTTAAAACAAACAAAAAAACCCTCTCAGAGCTCCAGTATATCACTTCCCTTGGAATAGATGAAGACACCCATCACTTACTTTCCAAGATATCAAAGCATTTGTTCATCTGCACCGAACAATGGTTCTGGGTGGGCTTCAACAAAATGTGAGTATCTAGCCAAAGTGTCACAGGAAAGCTGCTGCAGGACAGATGTATCACTTAAAACTGCAATTCACTCAGTACCAATGAGGGCTATTGAATCATGAAGTGTCAGTGCTCAGAAGGTGCACTGTCCTGCCAAAAAAAGCTGTGAGAAAGCATCATATGAAGACCAATTCAAGCATTGGATGCTTTTCAGGTTTTGACCCCACATGCTTACTTCATCCAATTAGAAGTGGTACTTCTGTCATTCAGATTAAAGCTTTTTGGCTCATGTAAATCCTGAAAACAAAGTAATGCTATAAAGTAAAAGGTTTTAAAAAATATTTTACTATGAGTTCAAAAACTGTGTTAGTACTCTAGCTTTCTACCTATTTGTAACTGGATTCAAAATGTGATTTAAATCATGAAGCCATTCTCAAGTAGAATTTTAAAAACTTTACATTCTTCTTACTCATGCAAACCACTTTAGTATCAGATGCATGAAAGCCTGCCAAGCAGGCATGTTGTGAAAGTAAAAAGCAGAAGTACTTTTGTACAAGTAGATTGAACAGGACACCTAGGACAGCATGGCTCACAGCATACTTGGATTGTAGCAGTAGTTCCATTTTATTAACACTAAAAGGTATCTGTACATCCAAGGTGTGGATGTGCCAAGGGGTACCTCCAAATTAGGGTATTTGTACTAGACGTTCAGTTAGGGCTTATTCCACCAGCTTACTAATACATATCATAAATATACAGAGAAACAAAGAAAATAAGCTTACACATTGCTGCTACTGAACCCTTCACAGTTTCTATGTTATCGTTTGGATGTGCTGTTGTTCCTGTGCCTGCATGCTAACGTGAAACCTTGGTTTCACAAAGTGACAGGAAACGATCACCTAGGGACGTACTCCTGGTACTGTGACAGCACCGATGATGAAAATTATTTGCTTTACACAAGTCAACGAACTGCTGTCAAGGATAATGCCCAGTAATCTCAGACTGTCACGGTTTTGCTGCATGTTCCCAGCTCTAACCATTCTTTGAACTCTGCTCCTCTGAGCAATGTGACAGCAGGCCCCTGCTCTGTCTGTAGGTGTTGTAAAACACTCAGCTGCCAGGGCGCAAGCTACCGTTCATTCTTCCTCCAGCTACAATTAAATGTGATTATCATTCTGCTTCCCCAGTAAAACAAAACCTCCAATTAAACTGGCAAGCGTTTCTTGGAGAAAGCCAGGTTTATACCTGAATCCCTTTGTAACTTTTTTTCCCCACAAATGTATTTTTCTTCTTTGTTTTTATGGATCTTTCACAGAAGACGTTAAGTATCTGATCCTAGAAGCTTACTGCTCAGCACAGAATGCGTGTGGCTAGAGGCTTGTCTGAAACTTACCTACTTGTTCACACTAATAAGCCCTGCACCTGCTAGAAAATGGTGGGGTTTCTTTTCCCACAAATTTCTGTGTGGAGAGGAGCAACTTATATTAATACAGTCTCATCTCTTGAACAGAACAGACAATTGTTCAGGAACTTCTGTCAGCTCCAAAGACAGTCATTCATTTACTAATCATATGAAAGAAAACGCTGCTATAAAGTCCTATTAAAGATATGAAATAGAAAACTGAAGCAACAAAAGATCCGGGTTTTTTTTTGTTTGTTTGTTCAGGAATTAAAAAAAAAAAATCAGTTACACAAAATCACAACTTTGAAGTAGATGCCAGTTTTAAGTTCTAAATTAAAAATACGAAACAAATGTAGCCCTCTAAACAACAAGGAACAAGAACTTTTTTTTTTTTCCTTTAAATAAGGGAGATCTGAGTTACGAGGCTGCAGATGAAGGAAGCAAGTCAAGCAGGTTTGGGTAACGAGAGCAAACGTGGCAGAACAAACTATCTAGTTAACATATTTCAGTAACAAAGTGTTTCCAGGCTCCTGGCATCTTTTTTAGTAGAAAGTGCATTTTGAACAAAGCACCCTTTAAAGGCTATATGCTTCTTTAAAAAGTTCCACTAGGTCTGACTATGCTTTCAAGTGCCATAAAACCGTCTGAAATTAACTTAGGAAAAGCTATATGTAAATAATTAATAATTCTTGATTGTTTTCAACCTCCACTAAAACTAATAAATATCCCTGCAGAATTATATTAAACTTTATAAAATCTACAAATAAAATACTGCCTCGTAAGTCAATATTATAAAGAAATATAAGCCACCAAAAGTGACTGCTATTACCACACTATCAAACTGCCTCAACAGATGTTAACTACTTTCCCTGCCATCTCTAACACAGAGAAAAAGGGAAGAACAGAATCATACAGCTTATATAGTTTGAGGGGAAAACCACGACAGTAGCCTGTGGTAGAATTTGGGTTTACAGACACATTAAATGATTATTCTGGCACTAGCTCACTTGACTACTTTATTCAATGAAACTTGAATACAAGTGGGAAAAAAATTAGCTTTGTGTTTCACTCAATTTTGCTTTTGTAATACATAGGCTAAACTTCTTGCACTGTACTAGGCATACGGGTTGGCACAAAGATAATTTTAAACTTCCTTTTTCCAAAACTGTTGAAGAGTTCCAGTGACAGAACATTAAATCTTTAATTAAAAACTAAAACCAAAAATGTGTCTGTATATCTAGGAGAAGATGCCTAATGTTAATGATACTACATTATAAAATTATATTCTTTCTGCTCAAATGAAAGTCCAAAGATAATGGATATTTTATTTTATTACAAGAGCAGGATTTCTCCTGTAACCTGTAACCAAAGTTAAAACAAAGCTTTTCTTGGAGAAATGCTTGTGTTCTGTCCAATTGTAAGTAATATTTGAATAGCTCCAAGATAAACTTGTACGGGGCACCTAAATACAGATTCTTCCAAGGAAAAAGGGAAAATACACACATTACTTATAAATGAATCTAAGTTGCTTCTTGCTTTTGAGGCTGAAATGTGTAGTATCACTGTACATTTTTTTGAGTAGTGACTATATCCAGCACTCAGAAATGCATTAAAGAGATCAAAAAATACTTTGTGATGATAAATTGCTTGCTTTTTACCCAAATGAGGTATCTGGAATGGAAGAAAATGAACAACATTGTCCTGGCTCTGTTTTAGTCCAACCCTTGGCAATAAAATGAGAAGCTATAAAAGGAACCTTTGTCACTAACAACCCCTTGATCATGGGGAGGGGAAAGGGGAAAGGGATTTTGTTTTTCTACTAGATTACAATTTGAGGCAACATATGACGGCATTCGCATTGTGTGGTTTTACAGAGGAATATTCTTGTCTGAGTAGAACTGCTGCCAATCCCACAGGACTATACGTGGGAACCTGAGGATCTCAGTCCAATGTCCTACTGGTGTTACGTAGTGTTAGTTACATTGATAAGGTGACTACTGTCTCCCTCATGATAAGAAAGAACCAGACTTAAAATCTCTAATGAAAATAACATTGAAGACGTTACCTCTAGCTGCTTCATGGCAAAAGGAGAACCATCTTGCTTTAATTTTTCAACAATTTCTTCCATACTATTTGCTGAAAAAAGACTAAAAGGAAAAAAAAAGTTAAATGAATGAACTGCTTCAGCCTTCCTCTTCCCTGTGAAGTGCTGGTAACACAGAAATTAGAGCGTAACCAGCTGATTTGGCTTTTCTTAGCAATGCTTTCCCTGTTGTTCAGTTTTAAGTAACTTAGTTGACAGGCATTTCCTTTTCCTTTACAAATCTCTAGCATTTCAATAAACCTCACTTACCAACTCTTATATTTATCCAGAAACTTTAATTACTACCATCAGTCTTACCTGTATTTTTATAACACATCAGATCTTTAGCTATTGGCTCCATTCTACCGTTGGTGTCACCATCTTTCGTCTCTGAACTTAGGAACTGCCATCCTTCTTCAAGAGTTTTAGCTGCTTATCACTCTCACTTATTTCTCCTTCCCTTTCCGATACACAGAAGTTCCAAACAATCACACAAATGGCCTTATAGCAATGATTATAAATGCACTACGTAACATTTCCTGTCCAACTGAACACTTACTCTCACAAATCCCTGTCCGATTTCTATGGAAAATGTTCATTTTAATGTGCTGTAGGGTGGTTGCTTAATATAGTGGTGTACAAATGAGGCAAATATGTTCAAGTATTTAATACACTGATGAGTAAAATATTTAATAAGCTTCAGATAAAGCTCCCTAAAGACAAAAACGTTTTAATTACTAACTTGAATGTAATTTCTATCACCTTATCTGAGGAACACTGATACTGTTAACTTAATGTTCTCCATCCAAAAGAATGAAAAAAAGGAGAAAGATTGCTGAATACCTGTTAATCTTCTCCATATGTTCGTCAAGTACAAACTCCTTTTCTTGATCAATTTTGCTCTGTTTAAAAACAAAATGCATATTTTACTTGGTTATTTTAGACAGAAAAGCTTATCGGTACTGAAAAATTTAAATTAATTGAGTTACAGAATAATCATAACATCATAAATGAACATTTAATATTCATAAGACACTGACTTTTTAAAGGAATTACAATTTTGCAGTGTTTATAAATTAGCTTGTCACTATATCTTGTGAACGTTAAAGATGTCACCTCATAATGCAGTGCTTGCTCTGAGCTACTATGTATGCATATTTGACTGGGTGGTTATCTTGTACACAAGTAATCATGATTATTCTATCAATGTTTCTATCAATTACACTAAGAAAGCCAGTGTAGATAAAGCTACTCAAAAACCTAAGAATGTTTTTTTTAAAAAGGTTTGATTTTCTTAAAAAATATAGAGGCATGTATATATGTATTTTTTTAAAAAAAGACAAAGCAAAAAAAAAGCATTTCTCTTCCTTATCTTCCTTATCCTCTGTCATTCTACAAAATTTTATTTAGAAAATTACAGAGTGTGAAAGATCTGTTGGGCTTATGTGGAAAGGCTGTCAAATGTTTCAGCTCTTCTGGCATTAAGGGGTTTAGGCCATCAGCAGATGTTTCAGTAACAGCAGCTGAAGCTGAGAAAGGTTCCCTGTCATTTCAGCTCTGATAACTAAAAATACAGTTTCCTTTTCTAGTCAGTGTCATCTTGTAAAGCAGTATGCTGCAACATATAATCACTCCTATTTCATAGCTTTCTATTTTGTCAGAATAATCAGTACTACTATGTAAATTAGCTCATCCCATTTATTTTTCTAATTAATCTTTACATACAAACTCAGTAATGCCAAAATAGACATAAGAAGAGTAGACACTGCTCGTTTTAAAGCCAAACAACTGGGGACTAATGCTCAGATTGACTGAATTCATTGAATCCTGATTTGACTCCAGAAGTTTCCTTGCTTTTGACATAAAATTACAATGCACATCAAAACAGCTGAAAGAGCTACTGAATAAACTGACTGTGAAGCAAAAACCTTTTATTTTCATGCCCATTGTTACAGGGGGCTAATACAAACACTAATTATGTATTATCAATACAGTTACATTCACCTTCAAAATCACAACAGAGAGCTATGGGTTTGTCTACTGGGAAAAGAGCACTCCCCTCCCCCCTGGAAAGATTGCTTTAAGACCTCAGATGCTTTCCCTACAACATATCTGCACTCTGCTAATACTTACCCTGTTGGTAACTGCTGTGCTTATTCACAGTATTTCAATTGCCTCAAGGTTACAAACATAAAATATTTGAGAAATTAAAGGAACAACTTGAGCCTTTAAATTCAGGCTTCAAATCTGGACTGCAGATGGTCAAAATAATGCTAAAATTTACATCAGATGCATCAAGCTAGCAAAATATTTCTTCAGGTCGATAAAGTTTCTGGGATGGAAATAAAATATCCACTTCCAAGTGAGCAGCACAGCATTAAATAACTGGTGCTATAACTTCTGCAGCCTCTGGGTTAGGACAGTAGTTCTACTCCTGTTGTTTGTGTTTGTCAGAATCCCTGAATTTCAGGCTAACTCCCCAGACTGCACTTGCCATCATGTACAACTCCCAGTCTGCTAGTGGCTATCTGTTTTGCCTTCTGCAAAGCATGCTAGAAATCCAAGAATAACACAGGGAAAATTAATGATCACGCTACTGGCTGGAAACTTACTTAGACACATAGAAAGAGAGAGCAAGCTGATGACAACAGGAATTTGAGGGTTATCCAAGATGAATAAAAAGTGAAGAAAGACTTTTCAATTTTACCTTTGACCACTGTAGGCATTAGGGCTACAAATTATTATTTTATAAAGTGGAAAGAGTTTGGAAACTCATTTTATTTTAACCATTAAACAAATGATCAGTAGCATGAATTAAAAAGAATCTGTTTTTACATTATGTTTAAAATTTCTGTTTGATTTCAGTAACTAATCATATTACCTTCACATGGTAAGAGTTCAGTAAGTCTGCAATATTTTCTTTTGAAGGAGATTTCAGTGCTATCAGGTCTTTCTCTAAGGCAGGTAGCTATTAAAAATAAGATTTAATTAAAAGTCAGTAAACCAAAATGTACTACTTGGATCATTACTGCTATGGTAATAGTACGATATAGTATATATGTATATAAACACCTCCCCCAACTTTCAGACAGATCTTAAAGAGGTACCAAGTAAACAATCCAAGGAGCCAGAGTTCACTTTTCATTGTTGAACCATCTGGATTTCATTAGGCCTGCAGTGATCAGGAAAGAATTTGGCTTCCCAAGCAGACCCCCCAGTGCAGTGCTACAGCTGCAGCAGGTAAAGCCAGTCTACAACAGTCCGAGGGGAAAGAGCAGGAGCCTGGCAACCATGCTATGCTCAAAATAGTTATCTAACCAGCTCCAGCAGTGCAGACGTAATGTCAGTCGTGAGTCTTTACACAGAGAAGGAAAGCAAGTTACTGCTTCTCCTTCACTTAGGTCCATGCAAGTTACTGAAACATCATGACTCTGACTTTATCAAATATACTAATTTTTACACTTTCTTACAGCCACTGTAAGAAACAAACAGGATATCTGTTAAGGAGACTGATAAAGAACACATTAATGGGGTGTTACCTAGATTAGAAACTTTGCAGTTGTATAAAAAATTGGATTAGATGATCTCTAAGGTCCCTTCCAGCCTATGTCATTCTAAAAAATCTCTAATTTCAGACACTGTTGTCTAAACTGGACAATTCTTCAAGCGACATCAGTTATGCTTAGTAAATCATGCCCTTCAACAGCAGAATCATGAAGACAGCAACATTTGCTCCCTCTTCCAAGCAAAGCTGTCCCTAGCTGGCAAGGGCTTGACAACAGCTTGAGAATATTTTCCGGTGCCCATTCACAGTGCGTGGCCAGCTAATAAAATTGCGCTTCTGCGGACACTTGAGTTGGTGAAAGTATCCTGGTGTGCTACACAACTCAGATCTCTGGCTGTAGGCTGTGCCCTGGCTAGCACTGCTTAGCAGCTTACCTTTTCCGATTCTACAAAATGTGTCGCGATGCCAGCTTTTAGCACATCTCTTCCTTTCAGCCTAAATCCTGTTAGGGCAAGGTAATAGCCAATCTTTCCTGGTAGTCTTGGCAAGAAATATCCTCCACCTACGTCAGGAAAAAGGCCTGTAATAAACAAAATAAAACAAAACAAAAAAGTGAAGGGAGAAGAACTTGTCCTAATCACGCCTGTAACTTCATAGCTATTTCTTCTTGTCTCACTTTCATCTCTCTGACTTAGGCGTGGCTCTCTTGCCCAAGTCTCTCCCTGACTTGGTTCGACATTTTTCTGTCATCAGAACCTTTCTTAAAAGCAAAATCTTGACTACCTTCCAAATTGTATCCTTTCCACTGGTACATAATTTACAGACGTATACCAGACAATAGTGTTCCTTCTGTTTGCCAACAACTTGAGACGTTTTTAGATGCCCGAAGAATCAAATGTACTCTCAGCAAAATCCAGAAGCGACACAAAGAAATGTGAGATAATTGTGCAAACTCCAACCAGATGCTGCTTTTTCTTGGAAATCTTTTATTATGATAAAAATATCAACCAACGATGAAGTGCCTCTTGCACAGCTACTTTTGAGCAAGTTTTTTGGCTGAGACTTAGTTAATGGATCAACAGTATTTCCAGGGTTTTCCTGAAGGTGGAGGCACAAAATGTTGACCTAATACCTGGCTCTTTGACAGGACTATGGTTAACCTGCAACTAAAAAAAATTATAAAACTTCCCAGTTTAGTGAGTGATGTTGGGTTTTTTTAAGTCTTCAAGTAGGGTAATTTTTTTTTTAAAAAATAAAGCTGTGAATAAAATGTAGAAGATTTTTTTAAAGTTGTCATTGAAACATATACAGCTACATTTTTCAAAGTTTAAATTTAAAATCATCACTTTGACAATGTCTACCTTATTCTGTTGCATACATTAATCACCTACAAAATAAATTCAAACACTTTTCGTAACTTTTAACTTAAGAGAACTTAAGCTTAACTGTATATATCTCAGAAATCAAAATGGAAAGAAACAGATGTGCAGTTACTACCTCAAAATAGTCACCAATGGTGCACTCATGAAACTGCAAGTCTTTTGAAGAAATTAAAGGTGTGGTGTTTTGTTTTGGTTTTGTTTTTTCACTTTGAAAGGACGAATGAAGGAGAATACAAATGAGCAATAAGAAATTCAGAAAACACTTGCCAAAGCAGAAAGATGAACTGGGAAGATTAAGATGTACATAAGGAGTTTAAGTGGTGTTCTGATAGAAGGTGGTAATTTTTCACTCACAAGTAATTGCTTTCAGTCACAAAAGAGTCAATGAATGTATTACAGAAAGACTCTATTTACGAGTATTTTAAGATGTGGGAAATTGGTGGTCCCTAAATATTCCTTCCCCTTGGATGGAATCAAAGGGAGGTTTCTTTCAGACAGCTACTCTTCAGTGTTTTCTCAATAAACTCTAGAAGTTCCTCACTGCCTTATGTTCTTACTTATCCTTCAGCTTCTCCTCTGGCTCCCTCTTGGTCCTCCCTTAGTTCTGCTCCCTCAAAGTTGTTTTTAGGAGCCATTTCTCATCACTTATAGTTGTAATATTCTATTTCCATTCCCACTGACGTGTATGGGAATGGAAATAGAATCCCACTGATTTATTCCTCATCCCACAGGCTACTGAGACATACAGCTCTTCTCCTGAAATGATGAATGTCTTGTTGGCACCCTTTAAAAGCCCTGAAATGTATTAATCCCAACTCATCACTTCCCTTCTTTTTCATCTGTACTCACTTTCTGAATAGTCTGCTCTGCATTTTACCTCCTTAGTTTGAGCCATCATAACGTTGATGCCAAGACTGTCATTTAGTTTTATATTTCTATTCATCTGCCTCTCCTTGGATTTCCTATTACTGAAAAAAAATTTCCTCATTTCAAAATGAAACTTCTCTTACAAATGCCCTCCAAAGCAAAAAAGGCAATTACATTATTCTACCCATCCAGCAGGGCTGCAACTACAACAACTTTTTCCTCTTTGCTGTAATTAAAATATTGATGCTGAAGGACTATTCTCCCCATGCTCCAGTAAGTTTCCAGAGGAAAAGCCATCTTCAGGTTGGGATCTATAGGGCCCTTCCACATGGCTGTACACAGGGAAATTAATTCTAAATAAACTGTGAAGTTGATTGGCGAAAGTTGCTTTAGAAGTTAATATGAATTAAGGTCTCTAATTATTAAGGAATTTACAAAGAGGGTTAGTGAAGGTGTAACTAATCCACTTTAAACTTACTTGGTTCCATAAACATAGTTCACTACAGCTTCTACTGTATCCTTTTCAAGGTCTCTGTCTACCTTTCTTCTTATAATTTTACTCCTCTTTTCCTTGTTCTACATATTCCTCTTAATTCTCTCAATAATGCTTCCTATATGTTTCTGTTTGCTACTGTGTTTCTCTTAACATATTCCATATACTTGATTTTATTTTTCTTCCCTTTGATAGCATTTACCAATTATTTCTCAAATTCCTACTTAAATAAGAGAAGAACTGAATGTCTGCTGGGCTGGCCAGGCCAGAAGCCTATGCCTGTAATGCTGAATTGCAGACTGCACTCTGAGGCAGACACGACACACTTCACTGTAATACCTATTGTGAAACTCTCTGCCATTGCCAGGCGTGAGATAAAGGTACCACTACTACATTCCTACTTTATCTTGCAGAAGTGGTTCGAGATTTATTAGTAAATGACTTATAGAAAGCTAAAAACTTAGAGGAATATACAAGAAAGCGTTCACTATTATTGTAACATAATAAAGCTCACTTCTTACAATATATTTTCAACTTTTGATCTTCCCACCGGTGGTTTTTCTACACCCTCCTACACCTAGGCTGCTTTATCTTATCTGTGTCAGTTCCAAACTCCTACAATCTAGAACTGGCTCTTATTTCGGTTTGCAAAGTGGCATATCTATCTATATCCTTTTATTTATGGTGGTGTATAAATTCAGAATAATTGTGTGAAAATGTAGCAGCTGAATGAATGCTTTGTTTTCGTTTCACAGAAAAGGTGTAATGCCTACTGAAATAAGTCAACATATGAAAAAAATCAATTAATACAGTATCTAGACAGCTAGACATTTTAAACATGCACCACAGAGATCAAAACAGCTAAGCCCTTAAATCCAAACAGATTTCAGTGGTTTTACTTCTAATCGATCCTAAAAGGGTTTTAATTACTTTCTTTCCTAAGCAAGTTCTAAGCTTTTCCTTTACATGTCTTCACAGTCTATTTTTGTTTAAATAAGTCCATGTAAACACAAGGAATGTATGTAAAGTACATCATCTTTGTTACTATAAGACTACTTACCTTTGAGGAAGAAAGCAAAGAAGGTATCTTTGTTAGAATAATTTTATATGCCAAAGAACTTCTCTGTTTAGTTTTTTAATTTTTTTTTTCCTTCAGATTTTTTTCTTGTACAACAGTTGATTATGAACTTCAGGAGTTTACCAAATCCACGTTGTAATAATGCTTGAGCTATTTAGTACACCAAGTTTTCCTTCAGCACAGAAAAATATTTGGAGAGCTGCAACAGTTTTTGTTTTCTCATCCCACCCAGACTTATTTGTTCAGAAAAATTACATGTCATGAGCTATCAGGAATTGCTCTAATAATTTTTTCAGGAGGTAAAATGATAAAGAGAGTGCTTATGTTTGGGGGGTGGGGTTTATTACGTTTTATTTGAATTGACACTCACAGCTCATTTAATATTTTAAGAATTTCAGAGTAGGTCTTGTGAAATGTTTCATACAGGCTGGATAGCAATGAACAACAGATAACATGAGTAAGAAACTCTTTAAAGATGATGAAAAATGCTAGACCTTTTAAGCATTACTAACGGGGCACTACAAAAATCCAATCATTAGCCAAGCGTGCATTTTAACTTTAATTGTAATTACGTTATTGTACTTAAAATATTCTCAAAAAAAGCAGAATATTATAACTTTTATTGTCTTTTCAGAACTGAGTCCTGATTTTTTTTTATATTATTTCTTAGTTTCAATATTACGTAATTGTTTGGAAATTCTTTTAAGGAAATAATGGTCACTACTCCTTATAACTAATTCTTTCAGGTGAATCTAAGATTGACCCTCATAGCACCATGTGTGTTGCCATTTCAGCTATTTACCCATCAGATAATGTTCTCTTTGCTGAATAAATGTGTTCAACAGGGTCACATATTACAGACCAGCCTCATTCTCCTGCTTGAGGACATAAAGATAAGGACAATTGCAATCATCCTTCAGCTCCCTTGTCTTGGAAAGATGTAGAAACTAGAAATTTCACAGGAGATAAATGCAGGATAGGTTATAGGTTTCGAGCACTCTTCATAAACATTGTCGATTAACAAGGAGAAGGGACTTGGACATTGATGAAAGCATTAATGGAGTATATATGCCAGACAATAATAGGTTCAACGTGGATACCCTATTGATGCCAGGATTGCCTTGAAGGGGAATATGAATGATTTCAAAGGAGGGTTCACTTTGACTGACTTTTCTTGAGCCATACCACCATCTTCATAATAGCTCAATAAAGTTTTCTTTTGTACATGTCAAGAGTTGACAAAGAAGCTATAGGATCAAATACAAGGTACATGTTGCTCTTTAAAAAAAAAAAAAAACGACACTGTGATCTCACCTGCACACAACTGTAATGGGTCTAGATTAATAATCTACAAGAAAAGATGGAATTTCAACATCTGTCTCATTAACATTGCAGATCAGCTCGTAATACAGCCAGTTTGACTCATATGGAGTTCCAAATGCAAAGTTGGCTGACATACTTTCACTGGCATCTTCAGACTTCATCTGCCTACATCTGTAGCAAAGACTTAGTTCCTCAAATCTACTTCCATTTTTTAAAAATTGTATCCTGACAGTCTTTGTGTCGGTCTAGACAGTAAACCTCAGGTTAAGAACCTCAATGATCAACCACCCAGAATACAGATAAGTTTCTATTCATTTAATAGAAATAATTTCCATATATGGTCATCTCTCCTTTTTAAAATTTTTGCATTACCACCAGTGCTTTCAGTCAAAGACCTTTCATTCTGATTACACTGAAACTTTAAACATGTTAGCATGTGATAAGCTGTTAAAATGCTTACCTATTGCTGTTTCTGGCATTGCAAAAACTGTCTTTTCTGTAGCAACTCGGAAATGTCCATGGACTGAGACACCAACTCCCTGTGCATGGAGCACAAGCAAAGGGCACAGTTATAAAATTACCCGTAAAAATAATCATAACCGTAATCCTCTGTAACACACCTCTTGCTTTGCTCTACAATTAAAGAGTATTAGATTCACCATGCACATCTCAACAAAACATTAAAAGGCCTTTTACAGTTCAAACACTAATAAAGCATCATATTGCCCTTATGATTTGGCTGAAATGGCATTCTGTGCTTTAAAATATTGATAAGGCATACGGAGATTAACTTGAAAAACCCAGGAGTGACAGCAGCAACAGAAACAAGTGACCCCATTTTCTCCACTAGACCACTAAAGGAGTTGACATCTTTTTGCTAATGTTACCCCATCTGTTATTTTTGCATGTACTTCAAACAACCAATGAAAAAAACACCAGAATTGCTCCCGGTGTTGTCTATCACATATTTGCTGATTTAGGCAGTAAGCAGCAGCAAGGCCCCCCAAAAATACGTATTTTCAGTTCATGCAAAATTAATTTTAGAGAAATGTACAATAGGCAAATTGACAAATTTAGAGATGAATGGTTATCTGAAAAAATTACCATTACTTAGTAATAATATTTGAAGTAATCCCAGAATATTTGGACTACCAGGCACAACCACAACACATGGCTAAAGGAGTCTCACTTCTCAAAGCTTGTCTACATGATACATGTCAATAGAAATGTGTGTTAGGTCCTACCTGGAGACAAAACCCACCCTCTACCAAATATTTCACAAGAATTTTCTTTACACAAATATGTTCTCTCTTCCTTTCCACTGTTTCAGCTTACTTCCTTTCCCCATGGTTAAATTTCCTTTTGCTTAGTCCTCCTACCCATCCAATTTTTCTGTTAAAAATGGTATCTTAAATCATTGGCCAAAAGAAGTCAGTGTCTAATGAAGATGTCATAGATTTTTAAGTAACGTTTCTAATTGTTTAGATACCAGGAAAATGGCACTTTACCCAACTAAGGCTACTAGTCTTCACAAACATCTCCACAATATTTCATACTTTCCATCAAAAACAGTGGCATTAACTGAGTGATACTTGCTTGGACCAGCATTATACACTTGACAGGCTTTTAAAGAGAGAGTAGAACATACAGCATCTTTTCATTTCACTTATCCACAGAGATCTTTGGGTGGGTTTTACATTATTTTTTTTTTTAAATTATCTCAATTTAATAAAAATGAGACCATTCTCACACTATTCTCATGTGTTCTTCCCTAGCCTCTCTTAGAGTTCTGCCTAGCAATAAATTAATTCTCACTGCTTATTCCATTAGGGTGATACCTGACTAAATTTGAAAATATCTTCAAGTTTTTTCTGTAAAATGAACATCTGCCAGTCTTGGGTTTTAATACTGATGTATGAAGTTTTTAAGATTCAAGTCTAATTTCCTGAGAAATGGACACTTAATGTAACTGGCTATTGGACTTGATTTTGTATCCAGAGACTAAACCGCATCTATACGCAGGAAGCGCTGCTGTTTCAAGGAGGCAAATGGGATTTGAGCAAATATCCCAGTCTTATTTGTGTAGGGTACAGTCTTATGTCTCAGCCCATATCTGTTCTTCAGCCCTTTCACTCGAGGACTGGTCAGAGGCTGTATCTCATCCTAGCAGCAGCAAGGGCCATGGCCCTGTATTTAGTTCTCTTGCAAAGGCAAAGCTACATGTAAAGCTACGGTCATTCCTAAAACAGCTCTAGAACTCTTAAATGAAATGGAAATGTGACTTCATCACTTTCAACTCTTTTTTTATATCATAACAGCATATTTTCACTGCATTGGGTAATGACTTTCCTACAGCAAGAGAAAGCACAATATTTCTGCCATTTTTATGCATGTTCAGCAATACTGATGACCTTTTCATAAAGATAACAACATTTAAAAAAACATGCCCATGTTGCTCTTTCTTATGCTTAAATTAATTTTTTTCTAATCCCATATCTAAGGACACAAATTCTATCTGTCGTAAAGCGTTTTTATGGCTTATTTTCTAGACAATCAGAAGTTTGTATAAGGACTCAAATTTTCAGCTTGAGTATTAAGTAACAAAGACTAGAGTGTGAACTCCATGAAGAGAGCTTCCCTTCCAAGCTGCTTCTTTTTTATAGTGATAAAGATAACTATAGATAGAGTTTTAATAATAAAAAGTTGAAAGAGGTAATTTTCTTTTGAAAGAAGTAATTAAATCAGATTTCACTTTCTCAAGTGCTTAAGCCGTAATTGGATTTGTTTTCTGGATAGCCTTCAAGTTTTACAGTATAGATAAGAGCTTAATTTCAGATGTATATTTAAAAGACTAAAACTATATTTTCTTCTTATCTATTATATGCTCCTCCATTTCTGGATTTTGTAATTATATTTTTTTTTAAATTTAACTGAAATCTTACACAGCTAGAGTCCCACCTAGGAGGCCCTTCACACTACTAAAATATCTGCAGTTGGGTTGTGTTCACTTCACCAACTAGTTCCAGCATTTACACAAACTTGATGCTATACTGTCTTTATTAAAATACACTATATCCTGCACTGTCAGAGTCCTACCTTTCATCATCTTCAAATATACACTAAAGCTAATGTCTTCCTTCAGACTTTTCCAAGATAACAGATTCCTATGGTGAATCAGGCTTGTTTTTTAATCCAGGTAGGTGATCTTAATACTGGCATTAAACATTTCTTTTTCAGTGACAGCTGAATGTTTGAATTTTGTAAAGGATACTTAAAGAATGAGACTTAAAAGTTAAGGAGTTAACAGATTAACAAGCAATCAATTTAAACAATCTTTCTGTAGGGTTTATATACCAACTAATCAAAAATATAGGTAAGAGCAGAAATGCTGGTCTGACAATGTATTACTGGAGATGGGCTATGAAGGTGTTTGGTTCAAAATTACAGACTTATTACTACATGGATATTAAGAAATTGATCTTAAAAACAGTGTATTACAACTTGACTCAGCACACCTCAAGGAGGCACATAGTATTACAGGCGGTTCGGTCTGATTTCATCAACAAGCTTCTGAAAAAGCCAGAAGAGTATCTGACTTTTACTTCCTATATACGTGATTTCCTACTCAATTTCCAAAGTATTTCCAAAGTCATTATGTCACTGTGTATAGAAAATTTATGATTGATAACCTTTTTTTTTTCTCATGATGAATACAGAACCTTATTAAAAAACTAAAAACAACGTTCAAATTACTGATAGATGGAGAAATGGAATACAGCTACTATACATCTTAAAAGCTAAGTTGTAGCTGGGAGGCTGCATTGTCTTAAATTGAGAATGACCCATATTAGTAAATCAGAGAACTCATCACATCAAGGGAAGTTATTAAGAAATTGAGGGCCACCACAACAGAGAACCACACAGAGCAAAATAAACATGCCCTTCCTGAATGACATACATAAACTTCTGTTCACATACAGAAAAGTAGGTCTGTGTGGCAGCAAAACTATAAATCGCACTTGTCTATTTACTAAATAACCTAACATAGACTGTCAAGGAATCACTGCCTAGGAAAGCATAAGCGACAGAATAAAAGGAATACAAACAGAAAAGGCCTTCAGGAATGTTGCTTGTATCATCTTCACTAGGCTGATAAAGAATTTGTAGCTGTTCACACAAACAATTTTATGATAACACCAATATTAATATTGCCTGCAGTGAAAGTCCTGTTGTAACAGTTCACATCCAACGATTACACTCATTTTTAACTGCATGGGAATACAGTTCCTGGTAGGGTCAGAACCACAAGAGAAATGTGGCAATCAACAAAACAAATGGAGCTTAACACAGCAAAGGGCAAGTATATCTCAATACAGATGTGTCAAAACAGCCAAGGCAGAGCAAAAATGTTTTCAAAAGCACTAGTTGGCAAAGTAAGAGAGTGGAATTGATTCAGGAAGCAGTAGGAGCTTATAAGCTACGTTAGATCAAAAATCACTGATATAAGAGCATTACCTCCTGCATCCAGACACAGCAAATCTTAGACTGAATCAAAATTAATCTTCGTTCATCATTAATGTCATGGACCACTCCGAAGAGTATAATCCATTTTTATGGTAGATACTAACAGACAAGATGACTTAGTGAACCAGCATAACAGATCTGGACTAGGAGTATCACTTTCTTCGGTTGATGACATATAAATCAACTTTATACAAGTATTTTAAAAATATAATTTAAAAACAGTGGGTTTTGTGAACTTTTCAGTCATTTAGTGTGATTTTTAAAACACAAAGTATCAATATAATATAATTTAAATACAAAAGATTAATTTCCACATATTGATTATGTATTAGAAATTCTCAGTCCAAATTTGTACAGGTGTACAGAAGCATAAGGAGATATATTATCAGTAATAATATGTGATGTTTCAGTTTTAAGTATTTTCCTTACAGCCTAGAGCAGCCCTGAGGAAAAGGACTTGGGAGTGCTGGTGGATGAGAAGCTCAACATGAGCCGGCAATGTGCGCTGGCAGCCCAGAAAGCAAATCGTATCCTGGGCTGTATCAAAAGGAGCGTGGCCAGCAGGTCGAAGGAGGTCATTCTGCCCCTCTGCTCAGCTCTCGTGAGACCCCACCTGGAATACTGTGTTCAGCTCTGGAGTCCCTGACACAAGAAGGACATGGAACTGCTGGAACGAGTCCAGAGGAGGGCCACAAAGATGATCCGAGGGCTGGAGCACCTCTGCTATGAAGACAGGCTGAGAGAGTTGGGGCTGTTCAGCCTGGAGAAGAGAAGGCTCCGGGGTGATCTCATAGCAGCTTTCCAGTACCTAAAGGGGGCCTACAGGAAAGCTGGAGAGGGACGTTTTACAAGGGCGTGTAGTGATAGGACAAGGGGCAATGGATTTAAACTGAAAGAGGGCAGATTTAGATTAGATATAAGGAAGAAATTTTTTACATTGAGGGTGGTGAGGCAGTGGAACAGGTTGCCCAGAGAAGTTGTGGATGCCCCATCCCTGGAAGTGTTCAAGGCCAGG